CTGCCAAAGTCACGCATACGACGCAAACCCTCCTGATAATTGGGTCCGGCACGGCGTACAAAGATCGAGACATTGTGCTCGACCAGCTTGGGCTGGAATTCGCGTAGAGCGGTGATGATGCCTACAAAACATAACAAAGTAAGGCAGGCGTTCGAGTGCGATGCTTGATAAGATAAGGGCTCGGACTCACCTTGGAAGGTCGCTGCGACGTTCGTAAAGTTGGCAATGCCACCCCCTGTTATCAACACCTTCCCATCGGGATGCTTTGGTGAGGAGGTCATTAGGTTAAGTATCGTTTTGGCGTACTCGTACGTCTGCTGCTCGGACGGTGCACCGCTGTATTCGCCATAGTTGGCCAGCTCAGAGGCGCCGCCCAGATCGCAAATGGTATCTGAGTAAATGACACTAGCTCCGCCGCCAGCTACCATGGTCCAAATACGTCCATTTCTATTTAAGATCGTCAATTTGAGCGATGCGCCGCTCTTAGCGTCCAGATCTGCGATATACGCCTCCTCGGGATAGGCATCGCGTCCGAATGGTGGTGGATAAACAATTTCGCCCCACCTTGGACGGCATATGAAGTCAGCAGTCGAGTCCAGCTTGGCTGCCAAATCCAATATGTACAAATTATCGGCCGTCACCACGAGCGGATTGATCTCGAGATACGTGAAATACAGATCCGCAAACGTAGCGTATAATCCGTATATAAATTTAGCAATGCGCTCCTTCTTGGACGCATCTGTAATGGCCTTCAGCAGCGTTGTCTTCACATCGGCCAGCGACAATGTGCTATCCACCTTGACCTCCAGCTTGACTGCCTTCGCATCCACATCGCCAATATCAACGCCGCCCTGATGATAGAACAGAATCGTGTCCGCCGAGCGATGCGAATAGATGCACACGTACATTTCCTCGGCCTGGAAAGCCAATAATCATTTAGTCAAGTCTATATAGATATATATTTCAATTTGTTAGCTTACCTCTGTATGCGCGATAAAGGGCTCGATTATGAAGTTGCGCAGCTTGCCTACGGCATTGCCGATCTTCTGATCCTTGTTGATGCGCTCGCCAATCCATTGCTTGACCTCCTCGAAGTTCTTCTTAACGCCAATGAGACCGAGTTTACCACGTCGCTTAATCAGTTGATCGGGCTTCACCACCAGCGGCTGCAATTAACACATCAAAAACACGAATTATCACCGGGATTACGCTAATAATTTGCGGTAAAGCATTCATTGATCCCATTAGCCGTTGACTACGTCAACAAACCCTCCACGGGCCTTTAGCCCTGCCATTGTCAGCAAGATCAGTCGCGAATAAGCGATTAAGCGCACCAAGCGAGCGGGCGGAGCAAGTGACAATCACTACCAGGGGTCAGCCGAGAGGCTGCGTCATTGTCAATGACAATATGCGCACGACTACAAACACACATACAGACTCACTCTCACACACACACACTTCAACACTCTATTAGAACATCGTACGAGTGTAAATTGATGAAGAAGAAAAAAATGTGAACTGAGGGCAATGCCTCAGGCGATCGCGCGTCTGCCTTCAAGTTGATGTGGAATGGGAATTGCATGTCAGCAAACATCTCTCAAAGTCAGGCTATAGATTCCTCTAATATAATTGAGTATTCTACTAATTCCCAGCGCTGTAACTATGCGTAAGTGTGTGCGCTGCTGATAATCACGCCACCCACACCGACTGCCGCCAATCAACACCCACACACATTGCCCGCGCTGAAAGATAAAAGATTGCGCTATCACAACTAGTAATTTGTTAGCGCCAATCAGCTGATTGCCGTTTTAGTTAGTTTTCCGGCCTGGAAACACATAAATACCTCTTGGCGTGTGGACACACAATTGATGATCAAATAAAGCTATTATTCTCTATGATAAAAGTGTATAGCAAAAATACTTGATTAAGGATTAAGGACTGAGTGAGCATTATGATACTGTAACATAATAATGCAATTTTAAATAGCAACACAATTATAAATAAATAAAGGAATAAAATAAACTGAAATAAATAGGTGCATTTCCGATATTTGCAATGATTATATATATTTTTTATCAACAAAAATATAAAATCATAAGTCTAGAGCCGCATAAACATTCTGCACTACATAATAGAGTGTTTGCCTTGGTTTCATTTACTTTGTATAACTTCAATCAATAATATATATTTCCCGGCAATATGAATCAGATATAAACACATACACATACATATACAACCAGCTGACGTGCTGTGCCTGCATGGCACACAACAACATAGGTGCATACACACATACATATGTATATATTAATTAAAAACATTGCTCAAATCAGATCATATCACCTTGATTTGCGCTCCAATTCAATTTCCCTCGCTCACACACGCACACAGTCACGCATGCATGTAGTGTCTATTTATATTAGCTATAATCGCGCCATGCTTATCAATATATGTATTTTTTTTGGGAATCATGCTAAGCGCAGATGCCGGCAACGCTTAGTCACACACATCTTCGTGGTGGGCTCTAATCAAAAATAACCTTAGCCGGCTTCTTTGCCGGCTGGGTCAAGTTCAATGACAAATATTGGTGCTGGCCTAGTTTTTGTTGTTATAGCAAATGCTTATCTAAATGATGGGATATTTTTGATTTTTTGGGTTCGTGCTTACCGTCGTTAGCAACCAGGGCTGATCGGCGCTCAATTTGGACCAATCCGTCTCAGCATTGACTGTGGCAAAGCGGCAGTTGGCAGCGCCAGCGCCGTGCTGATTGAGGTGACGATTGAGGATGTCCTTGCCGGTGGCTTCCGTGATCGCTTTCGCAGACATGCTGTACTAGTGGAAGGGATTTGGTTTTTGGCTGTAAATAGGAAATTGGAATTGCACAGCCGCATGTAAATCACAGATTACAATAAGCCAAGCGTGTCGATTGACTTTCAAACTTTGAATCTATTTACTTTGAATTAGAACTCTTCGATGTGTGCGTGTGAGTGTGTATGTGTGTGTGTGTGTGTGTGCGAGTGCACCTAAGTCTGTGAACACCTGCCTGCCTTAAATCGTACCGTGGCTGCGTTTTATTTATTTGTTTGTTTGGCTCGCGTGTGTTTTCCGTCTCTGTCTAATCGCTTCTTCGGTATTGTACGTCGGAGCACGGCAACCTGTTCGCTGTCGAGTCTCAAGTAAACTGAAATCTAATATGCAAGCCCAACAGCAATGAAGACCCGACCGAACCTCTGAAAACCGAAAACCGAACCGGAATCCGGTAACGAACGAAGCTAATTCGTGTATTTGCCGATTTTTGAAGTGCTTTCAACGCTACCGTAAACATACATATATAAATATAAATATAAATATATATAAAATCATATATATTTACTATATACTTGTGTAAGTTTTTAGCTAAACATATAATTTTTACAGTCAACTTAAGTTAAGCGACAAATATATAAGTAACGCAACTAATAAAGTAAACTCTTTAAGTACGGTTGCCCCCAAGCACCTGAATAAATGCAAATCAATGCTCATAGCTTAGTAAATCGGGGCATCGAGGAGGAATATAAGCCAAGCGTATTTTTAAATGGAATGGATTAAATGAAAATCAGATATATAAACTTGTATTACCTAATTTTCCAAAGTTTGCCGACTACTGAAAGTACCTAATACAAATTTAGCATCAGGAAACACTTGACACATGATAATATGTATATAGTATTTATAATATCCAGGTGTAAACTAAGTTTGTACAAAGACCGTTATACCATCCCATCAAATACAGCAGCAGCAACACAACAACAATCTGAAGATGGACCGGTTTATCTTGTTGAGCAACAGCCGAAAATTGAAATTTGTGTATAGGGAAAAGGGCAGGCAGGTAACTATAACTTTCACCCAAACATTTATGCAGGTAAATTTTACACTGTGGCGTTGACAACGATCAATGTTGACGTTGCTGGGCACTGTGTAATATACATATAAACACTCACGCACAAACACACACACACACAACGTAAACACATACAAAATACATTCAGATGTAAGGGTTTTTCCTGCTTAGAACAATTTGATCGTTTGCTACTTTCTGAGCACTGTTGCTGTATCTATTTCTGTTTTTAATTTGCACACATTTTGGGTTTTGTGGAGAATGTGTGGAATGACTTGACACTAATTTAAAGCTTGCGTTTCAAAGCTCCCTTCAACATTGTCGTTGCTAATTAACATGAGCGCGCAATTGTCGAAGTTCATGGCAATTATCTGACATATATTGGTCATGTATTTTTAAGCTTTTAATGCAAGTTAAATTATCATTAGATTTAGGCAACGAGCCAGTGAAAGTGGGCAAAATCAATAGTGATGCAATTTCTGTCTTCTTTTTTTTTCTTTTACGAAATGCGTCGCTTATGGCCACAAATTCGCATGGATTTCTATATATGTATATGTGTAGGTGTGTGTGTGTGCATGTTTATCCACATTTCATGTTTATTAACAATTACATGCACACCCAATTACAAATGTTATTCAAATGTATATGCGCAGCAATGGGTGACATTAATCAACTCACTATAACTATATGTATTTACAGCAGATTCACTTTTTGTTAATAATCCGCACCGCAAACTTTCTTTTCGATCTGAAAGACTTTATATGCATTTATATCGCGAGTTATCGATAAACGCAACGTCACTCATCATTCCGTTATGCCATTACGTACTTTGCTCATTTTGGCGTTAACGCGCGCTGTTATTGCGTAAAGTGTGCCCGTCTAATATTTTAACTATATGTCCTCTTAACATACGATTACGAGTCAGCTGTTTACGTATTAAACAGCTGTTGAAGTTAATGCTCTCAGAATCGAATCAGCGATAACATAAGCGATATTGAGTAATATAATTAAAATTAGTACTTAATGTGAGCACTTATTGCGGCTAAGAATACTCGAGTGTCGCGATTACAAAGCATTACAACTCGCTCACATATTGCGCAGCACAGCAAACACACACACAACAAGGATGTACACAAATTCGCTGCCAATACTGCTGCTGATGCTAACACTGGCGGTCATGGCCCCTGTCAGGGGCAACCATCAGCAGATGCATGCCAGCAGAGTAAAAGTGATGTCTGGCATACAGGAGGGCTTCATTGGCCTGGAGGAGTCACAGACGCTGCCCGAACCGCACACGCGCGAGCAAGTGGAGTTGCTGCGCCATCTGAATTTTGTGCCACCGGCTATAGACTTTGGCAGATGGTCGGTGGGTCAGACGGTAACACAGATTGTGACGCTGTTTAATCAGCACACAAACCGCACCGTACATCTGAACTCAATCACTGGGCCAAGCCCAGTGTTCTACAGCAGTTTTTTTGGTACGCGCGAGGTGCCGCCCCAAGGTAATACTACATTTAGTGTCGTCTTTTTGCCACGACAATTAGGTGCCATATCAACGGGTCTGCGCATCCAAACATCCTTCGGCCGTGCCGAGTTTGCGGTGCGTGGCGAGGGCAGCGAGTGCCCTTATCGCCTGAAGCCACTCGTTGGCATCAAGGCGCCAATGAATTCAACTCTCACGCCTGAAATTCATATGTACAATCCGCATGAGCGACCCCTGCAGATACTTGAGGTGAGTATGCCCCTGCAACTATAAGTGCTCCATCCAATCAATTGCCATATTGCAGGTCTACAGCAGCGGGGGTGAATTTCAGCTGGAGCTGCCCACTGGCGGATCGGAGGGGCCACAGAATCTGTGGGAAATACCACCGCATTCGCTCAAGCCAGTCATACGCATATCGTTTCACGGACGCACCGCTGGCAACCACAGCGCCTATATACGTATAAAAATAGCCGAGCAGACGGCGGACGATTCCTCACCGCTGGAACCTCTTAGCGAGAACGTACTAGTCATACCCGTCGAATTCGAAATATTGCCACGGCATGGCGCATACGCAAGCAATCCGCTGGCCGACTTTGGTCGTCTAGCTACGGATCAGCATGCGGATGCGTTGCGTTTCAAATTAGACATGCAAAATCAGCCAGCGGACGCATCACAGCGTCAGCTAATAGGCAACTATCTGCGCGACATACCAGGCCTGAGCTATGACGCGCACAACGCAAGCATTGTGCTAGATCCGAAGTTGTTCGACGAGAGCGGCAGCATTAATGATCTGCTGATCGTCAGCAGCAGCAGCAGCAACGGCGGCGAGGAGCAGCAGTTCACAGTGCTGGTGCGTGCTGAAATCTTTAAAGGTGGCCTCTATTACGATCGCAACGTGACGCTCTTCATAAGCAACTCCAGCACAGAAGAGACGCCGCTGGAGACGCAACGCACTTTGGTGGTGCGCAATGATTTTGCCTTTCCGCTGATGCTCTACAATTTCAGTCTGACAGAGCCCATTGATCCGGCTCTACTTCAGCTCTCATCGATGGAGCAGGAGCTGATGCTGCAGCCTGGCGAATCGGTGGATCTGCTGCAGCTGCATCTGCTCAACGAACAGGCCACATTCAATTCGATGCTGCTAATCGTCAGCAATGTGACGACGTTTGTCTTGCCCGTCATCGCGTGCAGCGGACGTCTGCATGTCTCCACGCAACAGTTCACGCTGGAGCTGTCCAGTGATAGCGATTATAGCCTGGAGGTGGATCTGGGCACTGTGCCCTTTGCGGAGATGTCACGGGACGCCTTCATTATACTGCGCAACGACAATCCCATGCCCATCAAGATAACCAACTGGTACTTTAAGTCGCCGAAGAGCGTCTACTTTCAGTCCATGTTCCGGGGATGTGTGCCGGCTGGGGTCGCTGTGAATGCCTCGTTGACCAATAATAGCACACTATTTCGGTTCTGTGGTCAGCTGGAGACCGGCGACAGCGCCGTGTTCATACTGGCCATACAGACGTATGTGGCCGAGGAGAGCACCGGCACACTGAAAGTGTGGACCCCCTACGAGCTAATACGGACCACTGTGCGCTTTAAGGCGTCTGTCGGGCAATTGGACATCGAGCAGGATCAGTTGCACTTCAAGTCTTGCTTTCCTGGCAAAATATGCTCGGCTGTATTGAGCATTCGATCCAGTTTTCTGCATACAGTGCATGTGAAGGCGATATCTTTTACACGTCCCGGCCTGCGCTTCAAGGACTTTAATGCGAGGGGCACCACAATTGGAGCACAGACGTTGACCAAAGTGGGCCGCATATACTTTGAGCCCGCTGCAGTATGTGGCAGCAACTGCTATATACGGCCCAGCAGCGACGAGCACGCGATCTTTCCGAGCAACAGTGGCGTCGCTGCAGGTGGCAACGGCAACAACAATCTGCTCTACGATGGCGTGGAGGTGCGTCAACGCACGGAACTCTACCGGCAGTTTAAGCGCCAGCTGCAGTCCATGTCGCTGACACTGCACAGCGACGAGCTGCCGCCGTTGGAGCTGGAGTTTAGCATCGGGATCGAGTGGCCCAAGCTGGTGCAGTATCAGCCGCTGCCACCCACGCCGGCCATCGAGGTGGGCCAGATGCAGCGCCAGTGGATAACCATGAGCAATCCTTCAATGCAACCCTTGCTGCTCGACTATTATCTCTCCGATCCGGCGTACGCGAGGCGCACACAACTCTCGCTGCCCCACGAGGTGATCGATGTGAGCAGCAGCAGCTGTTATCTGACGGATCGTGATGTCTTCTCGCTGCCCGATGCTCCATACAGTGGATCCGTGCTGCTGCCTGCCGGTGCCACATTGACCATACCCGTGCAGTTCAGCGCCCACCAGCCGGACAAATACTGCACGCTGCTCCATGTGCGCAGCAATCTGACCCTCTACGAGGCTGTTTGGCTGACTGCGCGTGCCGTACAGTCGCAGTTCCGCTTGGGCAATCGACGACCCGGCTCCAATGCTCCGCTGCTTTTTGACTTCAATGCCGAACAGTTTGAGCGCTGTGATGGTAGCTTGAAGTCTGCCGATGGCAGCCATGACGAGGATACCCTCTCTACCCATGTGGTTTCGGCAACGCGTAGCTTTACGGCTCGCAATGCGGGCGTGCTGCCTATCCGTGTGGCCGGCTTTCTCATTGGCAAGCGTCCGTGCGAGGGCTACGGCTTTAAGGTGCTCGACTGTGAGGGCTTCGAGCTGGGCGAGAATGAGACGCGTAAGATCGAGATCAGCTTCACCACGGACTTCACCGCATCGCGTGTGCAGCGCACTCTGACGCTGCTGACGAATCTCAGCTATGATATAAGCTATCAGCTAGTCGCCCAGCTGCCAGCCGAGAGTGTGGAACGCTGTGCAGCGAGTCTGCCCCGACCCAGCTGGGAGCCGGCATTGCGAAATGCAGCGCTGGTAGTGCTCCTGGCCAGCTTCTGTCTGGTGCTGCTGGCCGCCGTCTTCGATGCGCGGGCGATAATGGCACAGCAAAGTGCTTACGATGCAGCGCGCTATAAGGGACCCGTGCAGCCGACATTCAACTTGCGCAACATTGTCAAGATGCAGGTGGCGGAGGAGGCGGCGGCAGCTGCTGAAGCAGCCGCAGCGGCAGCTGCCCTCAAAACGGAGCAGCAGCAAAAATTCAGAAACGGCCAGCTCAAGGAACTGCGTAAACGCTCAACCCCGGCCAATTCTACAGCGGACAAGATGACGAATACACGCAAGCCCAAATCCTGGACAACATGGAGCATGGACATGGCCAGCTGTGAAACCAAAACTGCAGCAGCTTCAACTGTTCCTGCTGCGGCTGCTGCTGTCGCAGCCCAGCCAAAGCCTACAACATCGCCGAAGCCCAATAAGAAGACAACCACAACGCCCACGCCGACGCCAACGCCAACGCCGACGCCAGTGCTGCCATCCCTAACCACAGCTGTGCGCGCACCAAAGAAGCCCAAACAAACGACGCCAATTAGTGTGACGCCCAAACCCAAAGTAGAGCCGGCTCCGATTGAAGTTCAGGAGAAGCGCGTCAGTCCGAATAGCAAGGGACAGCAGGAAAACGTATCGCCGCGCGCTTGCAAAGTGAATACAGAAACACCCAAGGAACGCGTGCTCAAGGAGCAGAACGGCAGCACCAAGAAGCTGGGCAAAACGCCTGGACGTGAGCGACGCAAGGAGCAAAAACTGACCACACCCAACGGCAAGAAATCGACGGAGCGCAAACAGCGCAGCAAGCAGCTTAATTTCAATGGCAACCCGGTGCCAACGAGCGGAGCATCGCCACTGATCACACCGGAAGCCGACACCATGATCACCTCGCCCTGGGAGACCAGCAGCCGCGTTTCGTTTCGCGATGTGCTGCAAACGAAGCCGCTGCCAGCGATCGATAACGGCCTCAACTGGGATCCGGCAGCGAGTGACTTGGCCAGCAGTCAATTAGGCCCGATTGGTAGCCGCAAAAGCCTTCCCACAGCGCCAGCTGCCTCGCTGTATCAGCCAATCCAGCAGCCGACGACAACGACGACGACCACGACTAACAATACGTTAATTCGTTCGCTATTTGACAATACGGAGTCGAGCTTGAACATGGATTTGCCTGCCTTGAATGGTGACTCGATCAAGATATTTAATCACTCCCATTTTCTAATCGCACTTCCATTGCTTTTGCAGATCTTTGTGGCAACTTGTATGAACGGGAGCAGCCGCAGACGCAGTGGGAACGCAGCGAGTTGATAATGAAACAGCAGCTGCTACTGCAGCAATTGGAGCAGCAGCGCAAGCAACAGGAGCAGCAGAAGCTAATGCTGATGGCCAGCATGGAGAGCAACAACTGGACTATGAATCAAGCTAGTGCGGCTTCATCCTGGACGCCACTCGGCTATAACGGCTGGCCAACTCAGGCAAGCGCGCGTACCTCGCCTACGCATACCATAACGCCAGGTGTGGGCGTTATTCGTCCGCCTCCTGGTCTAGAGCCAAACTATAACAATTGCCAGCTGCCAGCAGGAGGAACTGGAGTTGGTGTCGGTGTCGTTGGACATGGAAATGAAGCAGCTGCAGCAGTAGTAACAACAGCATCGGCTGTGGGAGCAGCAGCATCCACAAACAACAATCAGAGCAATAACCATATTGATGGTTTGCAGAACGCACAAGATAGGGAACAGCACAATATACCCTATCAATACGATCCGTTTACCTCGCCAAGCTCAATCTGGTCGGACAATTGGCGCCAGCGCAACAATCACATGAACTGAAGGTGCATCAAAAGCTCACTGATCAAATTTAAGCAACCAAATGAAATTCTTATTCTACATATAGACACTTAGGCTATGCTAAGAATCAATGAAACACATGATCTTTTCCAATTTGACATTTGACTAAATAAACGCAAAGATTTATGACTTTCATGATATCGTGTATTTCCTATATTGCTCCAGAATTCTCATTCAGCTCAATTAGTTTTATATCGCAACGATGCCAAAATAAATGTTCGAATAAGTATATTTATATGAGCACCTTTTAGAATAGTTTAATATTCATTGAGCTCATTTGATTTATTGGAATTTTACTAATAAAATGTGCAGTTGCTTAACTGGCACCGCAATACAAAACGTAAAAAAATCATAAGTCCTTTATATACAATTTTGTTCATAGTAAATTGTCATATTAATAAAAAAAAAAAATAACTAGCCAGATCATCTGCAGTTGCAGTTGGAGCCTCAACAGTTGTCCTTGTACGTAATTATGCCCTTTTCAATGAGGTCTGGCACCTCTACGGCCAACCAGGGCGCCAGGCCGAGGGCCATAGCATGTGCGATGCCAAACTTGGGCACATTACGTGCCCACAGTGGCTTGAAGTGATCCGTTAGGCAAATCTTACCGCCTCGATACATCTTAGCCGTCTTGCCGTCAAGTTCTGGAAGGGCTATTTCCGGTGCAGTCGTTGGATACGTCACTGGAATGTCGAACTCAACGTCGAATTCGTATTTAAGCAGATTGTGCATGTACCAGCATTTGCCGAACCATTTGGTGCCCTCTTTGTTGGACTCGAGGCGGAACCAATCACTGCCAGACTGCTTGTTGTTCTCCACATACTGAAGGCAAAATTATTATTGATTCGATTTGGTTAAATAAATTAAGTACATGCCTTGATGAGTGCTTGATATTCCTCTTTCAGTCTCTGCACCCAAACATCCTTCTCACGCGGACCAGCACGTATTTGCAGTAGTGGAATGTTGCTCAAGGTTTTTCTGGTGCTATCGTCAACCATAACGCTGCCTATAAATTCAATCTGGCACAAAGTAAATAAATAAAGAAATATGCTACTGCAAATGAAAACAACAAGTGTGACACGTACTGAAATGCAGTAATGAACATATCGATTCATCGATAGGCTGAGCTTATTCAACAGCCATTCAAAAACTAGTTGATATGAAATTGAGAATCATCACTACATCAACGATCTATTGCCGCCAATTTCGGGATGTTTAAATGCAATACTCGCATTTTGTAAACAATCGTGTGGTTGCTGTATAAATGACATTGATGAGTCGCAGCCGTCGCCTATAAAACCGAAGCGAGAATTGCCGGGAAGACAAACAATATTAGCTCGTTGAGCTGCAAAGTACTATTTGAGCGAAACAAAAACTCGAAACAACAACAAAAATTTGCAGACATTGTGAATAAATTGCAAAATAAAAAAAAGGATATACAAATTCGCGTCTATTTCATTTATATTTGATGTATCATCAATAGAACTATTGCCGGTATGTATAGTTGTGATTTACGTGAATCATATTTACATTCAACAGATGTGTATTAAGTTACCTCAAACTGGGGAATGTGATTAAATTGTTGGAATTTAGTGAAATTACGCAAATCAGATACTTGAACTTCATAGTGGCAATTGAGCAGGCAAAATCAACTTTTCACGAATCGTAGACCATATGTCTGACCCCAGAAAATATTCCATTGATAGGGAAGACTTTACCAGAGCTCAAAATATTTTCAAAAAAACAGGCAACAACAAAACTGCAAAATTGAATCCCGCTTGTCACGCCTTGCGAACCATTGGTACAGATTAAAGAAGCTGCTGGCAATTAGAGCAAAAAACAAACACACGTTGCTGGTTGTGGTACCTTTGAACTATATATAAACATATATAATGGCAATCCGGTGATAAGGCTTCGGGATCCACTTTAAAACCGCCTCGAACTGGTTTGCCGCCACAGACACAGAGATACGATTGTCTCGGCATCACACCAAGTCCAGTCCATCAGAAAATAATAATCATATTAATTTATTTGCTCCGAATACTGAACCATAATAATACTGAATCTATATGTAAGCAACGTAACCAGATTCGACCTTAATGCCGCTGATAAGAGCGACTCTGTTGCGCTATTCGATTGGGATGCTGTAGCCGGTCAACCGGTTGAAACCAGTTCCACGTCTTGGCTTTTCCATTTAACGCTTTTTCAATTAAAACAAGCTACAAATTGTTTTCCAAGCTTTATACACTGATTACGCCGAAATCAAAATAAACGCAAAGTACAATAATTATGTCACAGGGCACGCGCAATCTCAGCATTCCAAGACATCGTCCACTGACATAAGCGTTGGCACCTCTGCGGTCTCTACGGTTTCTGCGGCCTGTGTGGCTGCCTTTGCCACGGTTGCTACTGCATTTTCCGTTGTCTTTCTCATGCTCACCGAGATGATCGTATCCTTGCGACGATAGCGCGCCTGATGCTGACGATGGTACTCTTGCCATTCCTTGTAGTGCATCTTCTTGCGATGAGCATGCATATTAGCATTCGAGTTGAAGGTCTTCGGGCAATGCGGGCAGGTATATAGTACCTCACCGGTATGCGTTGTCATGTGCTCCTACATAAATACATATAAGAAAACACTTTTCGATTACACGCCCCATTCATAACTGAAAGCAGAAAACAGTTGTTCAACTCACGCGCAATTCATTCGGCCGCTTAAATGCCTTGTCACACATCGGGCACTCGTGTGTACGTGCCGTGTTGTGAGTGTACTTGATGTGGTGCTGATGCGCTTGCAGTGTGGGTGACACTTTGAGGCAAACTTTGCACTGCATCGGCTGCAAGTTCTCCGCTGTATGCATCATCTTAATGTGACGCGCCAGTCCGTATTTTGTTGTTAGCGTTGATTCGCACAGATGGCATTTAATGATCTTTTGCGGTGCACCCGCATGCTCCTCCATGTGACGAACCAAAGCCTCACGTCCTCTAATCGACTTGCCGCACACATCGCAAATCTTGTCAAATTTTCGCAAATGCACCAGCTTCACGTGCTGCTGCATTAGGTACTCGTTGGGGAAGCTGCCAAAGAGATTAGGGTATCATTGGTATCTGAGTATTTAAACGAGGGTCAAGTATATGCCTACGTCTTGCAGCAGGTGGAGCACGTTGCTTTCCACTGCTCCTTGGGAATGTGGATGAGCTTGTGGCGCTCGCACACGACGGGGCTGTAGAACCTCTTAGAGCAGTGCTCGCACTGGTAGCGACGTCCATGCTGCTTTATCTCGTGCATGCGCATGTGCAGCTCTAGGCTGCGACGCTGGCCCATCACACGTTGGCATATCTGGCATTTGAATAGCTCCGGATCCTGGTGCCGTCGCAGATGATCAACGAGCACGCCGCGCTTCAAGAACTTCCGATTGCAGCACATGGCAAAGCCGCGTTGATTGTGCTCTTTGCGTGAATGCGTCAGCATCTGAGAGAAGTCCTCCATCGCCATATTGCAAAATGGACAAAATAGCTTGAAGTGATCCCTGATGTATTCGTTGAACTCCTGCGATTTCTTCATATTGTTTACGCCAGTTTTTACGGGTTTTACGGTCTTTATTTTGGTTTTCAAACAGCGACGCTTTTTGGTCTTTTTTCGAGGTTTTTTCGGCTTTGGCTTAACGATGGCAACTGCTTCTGTTTCGCTTTCATCGTCATTCTGTTGAAGAAATTCAGATATGGATTGCTCCTCCTGATCTTCGAGCACATCAGCTATGCTCATGTCCGCCTCAGGGAATTCGATTTTAATCTCGTTCAGATTGATCTGCTCCAAGACGGCTCTAAATTCGTTGCTGTCGATACCTGTTGCTTCCTCGGCTGCTGGTTGTTTGCGTGGACGGCCGCGCCTACGCTTCACAGCAGCCGCTACACTGTCGCCCAAGTTAACTTCCGTCTTAACGACATCTTTTGGAACTTGCAATTCCATGGAAATGGCTTCCAGTGCTCCGCTATCCTCCGTCTCATTAGCGAATGATAGATTTGTAATTTCAAGTAGAGCCTTGTGCGCCTGCTCCACGCGCAAATAGAATGTATGGAATGCATACAGCTCGCTCCAGCACCTACCACAAATATGGCCATTGGTGTCTTCAATCTGCAACTCAAGCAAAGATTTAATTGGACAATATGTTCTTACTATAATTTGTAACATTTCTTACCCGCAACCAAAAGTGTTTTTCGATAATTGCTTTAACATCAAGTAGCTCAGCTTCCTGAGAACTAAATGGGATAATGCCGATGGCATTATCCGTGCACTCCGTGCACAGAAGACACATATTATTAAAAGTGCAACGTTTTTATAAGATATTCACTTAAAAATGCGACAGCGGGCATCAGGCGAACAGCTGTTTGCTGTCAAAAAGTGTGCTGCCAACTTATTGCAAAATCGGACATTCTATTCTACTTGAAGTAGTTGGCAACTCTATTGTATTGGCGTCGCACTTTGTGACTTGACTTTGAATTAATTTAAACAATTAATGTTTTATTTTTGGTTGATTGTGGCGTTAAAGCTTTAAACGTTTCAAACGTGTTGCAAGCTAGACGCACAATGGAAACAACGTGCATACGCTCTTTGTATTTGATTAGGCACGTACTTGGGCGTAAGTATGCTCGCTATATTTTTGTTTATTATAAATTTCAATTTTTTATGCGTTTCAATTTGAACCCTTTGTCCAGACATTGCTGTTGTCAGAATAGAGCTTTACACATTATTGGGCGATAAAGTGATTTGATATCACGCTGTATGCCACTGATAAGCTAATTAAATATAATTAATGAATTGTCTACTAGAGCTTTACTTACCTTACGCTTATCTTGTTTTTATTTCAGCTTCAGCTCTTGATCAACTGCTTGGATCAACTCTTCATTAGTTGATTAGCAAATTAGACGACATGGATGTGCAAGCTGGACGCACTGTACCGGATGGTGGCTGGGGTTGGGTTGTAGTTGCCGCCGTGGCTGTGATTAATGTAAGTTTTGTGAATGCCATTTACAAATCAAGAGATGTTCTAACTCGTTCACTCTTACAGATGACCAACCAGTCCATACTATCAGTATTTGGACTACTGTTCGAGGGTCAATTGCGCATGCACGAGGACACCTTTACGGCTGCCCTTATAACAAATCTGAATAGTTTGGCTCTAAACTTTTCGGGCTTGTTCATTGGGCCGGCCATTAAGAGCTTTAAGCCAAGGAATGTGGCTGCCACGGGTTGCTTGTTGGTTTCCATTGGCTTGACTCTGTGCTCGTTTGCCACACAGAGTTGGCACTACATTGTAGGCTATAGTTTCTTTGTCGGCTTTGGATTGGGCTTGATATCGCCATCCACCTTCATGGCCATCAACTCCTACTTCAGCAGTAAGCGGGGACGTGCCGTTGGCGTCTCCTTGGCGGGCGCTGGCGTAGGCCAAGTTTTCATTCCTCACATGGTGCGATATTTCCTAGAGAATTATGGCTTCCGCACTGCTGTGCTTGCCATGGCTGCTCTCTCACTGACTGGGGTTAGTATTAACATGCCCTATAATATTTAAACGCTTGGCTAACAACAATTATCTTTTAATTTACAGTTGCTTGGTGCCATTTTCCTACGTCCACTTAATCCCTTCGTCAGTCACAATAATCGCAAGCATCTGACACTTATTGTGGATAAGGAGGTCAAGAAGCAGAGCAACGATTTGCAAGCAATCATTGTGCAGCCGACACAGAATAAGCCAGTAGAATTAAAGGAAGACGGCTCATTGTGCAGCAAAATGGGCCATCGTTTGGCCCAGGCCATGGACTTGGAACTGCTCAAGGACACAGTATTCTGGAGCATCATTGTGGGCATGGCTCTGGTCTACACAGCAACGATCAACTTTACACTCGTCTTCCCCAATTTTCTGAAGCACACCGCTGGCTTTGACAGCCAAGCGGTGGCTACATGCATGTCAGTTGTGGCTGGTGCCGATATCGTCTTCCGCCTGCTCCTGCCCTGTATCACTGACCGACTGAGAATACCCTATCGTGTTGTCTTTCTGATGGGCATAATTGGTTTACTGATTGCCCGTCTGCTGCTCGCTCAGACGACCAGCTTGCCAGTCATAATTGCCATGTCCGTGCAAGTGGGCATGACCAAGTCGGCCACCGTGATCAACAACAATCTGACTATATCGGCATATTGTCGGTCCGAGAAACTAGCTGGCGGCCTGGGACTCAGCATGATATCCAAGGGCATAATTGTGATCATTGTTGGCCAGCTTCTTGGCTGGGTACGCGATTATTCCAACTCTTACGTCGTCTGTTTGTATGCTCAAAGCGTGGTGCTGCTTTTAGTCGTGGTTGTGTGGACGCCAGAGATCTATTATCGCTACAGAAAGCAGCGGCACCACACATCCAAATCCATGGAGACCACCTATATGCAAGCCGAGCAGGGAGAGCCTCTGAATTCTCGCGCATAAGCCGGAAAATTTGTATTGATATTTATTTTAAGGATGTGATACCCACGCGTTGTGACTATTGGAGCTATTTTTCGTCGTATACGTATATCTATTTAGTTTAAGCTATTATCTCGACTTATTTATTATCATTTAGTGCGTAAGAAACTTGACTTTTGTACGGCTTTTCATCCCGCATATACACAAATGAAAAATATAAAATTTACATATAGAAAAACCAAATTCTTATATTTTCCACAAGAGTTAGAGCTGAATTTATAATCCTTTCCATTTAAACTAAAAAGCTTTTTGAGCCCTCAATCTCAGACTGTCCAGACTCTGTGTTAAAGAACAAACGGCGCTCAATACCGTCCTTAGTGATGATTCCAATGCGCACCACGCCGCCGGAGCTACCATCATGGTAGATGGCATGTTGCACAGCTGTGACAAAATTTATGAATTGGTTGACAGCTAGAAAATTTGAGATAAAGTGTACAAACCTTTCTTGACAAATTCTACACACTCTTCCATTTGCATGCCGAGGCGATAGTGCTCTTTTACGAATCCGTAGATGTAGCTGGAGCCCGAGCCGCCAATGGTGCAAGATTCGTGTGTCAGCATGCCACCCAATGGCACACTATAGACTTGACCGCCACGCTCCTCATCCCAACCGGCAACAATAATGCCAGCCATCAGAGAGTCACGATAGTTGTAGCAAAAGTTGCGAAACTCTGATGCCGCCTCCCAGACAAGTGGTTCCTTGTTGGTCTGATTTCGGTGATAGTTCAGAGAATACGCCACAATATCGGCTATGGCCTGGGTATCAGCGGCAGAGCCACTGCGACAGCAGTATATCTTATCCGAGATTTGAGTCAATTTGTCGGTAACACGATTAGCAACATATGCCCCAGAGCTGGTGCGAGAGTCTGCACCAATCACAACGCCGCCATCGAACTCAACGGCCATAATAGTTGTCTGCAATAATGGTGGTTACAAGGCAAGAAGACTTTAATAATACTATTACTTACGCCAGTGCTGACGGGTGTGTCGGTGAAGTCAAAGTCGGGACCCATGGTTCTTGTGAAATAATTTTCTTTATAATTTATAATTCGTGCAGGAAGATGCAAAGCAAAATGACTGGCTTGTTTTTGGCAAGTGTTGCGAAGCGTCTAACCGGCACAGTGCTGTGGAATTTTGGTAACAGCTTTGCATTATTAAATACAATATATCGTTATCGTTATCGCTCATCCACATGTTAGCTTTGTTTTGATTCGACTTGAAATATATTTTTAATGAAAAATGGCATACGTTGCGCTAAGCGAGGCAGAGAAGACTTTTATTTTACATGGCGTTGAGGTAAGGGCTTACCAAATTATTTATGCTTTATATAAAGTATTTTTAATATATACTTGCAGGAGGATTTCCGCTGCGATGGTCGTTCGCGCCGTGATTACCGCCCAATGGAACTGGAGACTGGCTTGGTCAGCAATGCAAGTGGGTCGGCACGTCTACGGTTAGCAAACACAGATATTTTAGTGGGCGTTAAGACAGAAATTGATGTGCCTAATCCATTGACGCCTGAGTTTGGAAAACTGGAGTTCTTTGTGGATTGGTAAATGTGTGTTATATTAAGTGAAGATCTGTGTGTTAAGCGTTTTCATTTCTCCCAGCTCTGCGAATGCTACACCAGAATTTGAGGGTCGCGGTGGCTCAGACTTGGCACAAGAGCTGATACTTTCACTGCAGAATGCTTACGAATCCCCATTTGCTTTTGATTATCGTACCTTGTGCCTCATACCGGGTCAGCAATGTTGGAAGCTTTACATAGACATTTTAGTAAGTTGCGTAGTAGTTTATATATTATTTATCTAATATTTGGTTTTTAGATCTTGGAATGCGGTGGCAATTTGCACGATGCCGTTTCTCTGGCTGCCAAGGCAGCGCTGTACAATACAAAGCTGCCCCGGGTTACTGCCACATTGCTGGATGCAGGCGTCACGGATTTGATTATATCGGATAATCCCTATGATTGCACACGCATTGGCATTGATGCAGTGCCTCTGCTTGTGACAGTATGCAAAATTGGTGACTATTGCCTGGTGGATCCGACAGCCGAGGAGGAGGTCTGCAGCACTGTTAGCATGGTTGTATCCGTATCCATGCGTAACAATGAAGGTAAATACGATAACTATATTGAAGTGTTTTCCTCTTTTACACCCTCATTGCCTGTAGCTTATTTATCTGGCACACACATGACTGGAGGCGGCTCCATGCATAGGGACACCATGCTAAATAGCATACAGCTTGGTCTCTCCATGGGTGAGCAGCTGAATAATCTCCTCGTGAAGATGCTCAAGTTGGAGGAGGAGCGCGTGGGTCCCAAACGGCCCAAAACAGTTGGCTTTCTTAAATAAACGTCTCTTAATATTATAAAGTTTATTGAATTTACTCCATTTGACTATGAATTGAAAGGATTTTCTCTATTTGCTTAAGGCTTAATTCAATTAGATTACGGCACAAATACTAATTCCGTTTTTTCGTTTGTTTGTTGGCTGTGATAGGCTTCTTCTCCTTTGGCTCAGGCTGCTTGCCCGCTAAGAAAGATGTTAGCATTTCACTAATCTCTGGCATATCATTTGTCATCTGAGTGGGAAGAACAAAAATGGCATTCATTTCAAGCGTATATAGTTAATATATTGTCCTTACCTTAGGAAATTGCATATTTTCAATTTCCTTCTTCGTCTCTGGGTCGTTGATCATCTTTGGCAGCACCAGCATAAGCAACAAGGGCAGAGCCATCATTAGCACCATAGGGCTGAACAGGAAGTCCGTAATCTACAAGTACAAACAATATTAAGTTTCTCAGATTGTTAACTCTAAGTAAGTCATCAATTAGATGTACAGACCTTCCATTGCTCGCGGGTTTGGAAATACTTGAATCTCATAAGTGGCTTCATCCTGAGTGGATAGGGCACCTGGACAACCTGCGCTGGCTGCATGTAGTTCACTTTGCGCGCACGGAACTTGCCCTTGGGATTGATTTCAACGCGTACTGGCTCATAGAATATGTCCGGATGATAAACGTCCAGCACATAGCTACCGGAGGGTACGCCGCTGATTATGAACTGTCCATCCTCGCGCACAAATCCCTTGTACTCGCCGTTGTTAATGCTCACGGACAAGTCCACCTGCCATTTGTTGCCATTGGGCAAGGCAACCGCATGACCCTGCTGGCCGAGTCCGGGTCCTACATCGGGAGCATATACTTTGCCCTCGATTGTGTAGTGGCCAGATACCTCATCAACCAGATCCTCCTGGCCAATTACCACTTCGCTGCTACTCAGGGCGATGAGTGCCGCTATTATTAATAGCTTATAGCACATTTTTTAATTGTTAATTTCCGACAACTTTAATTGAAAAATTTTTATTGGTGCAGAAAAAAACACATCAGATGTTTCTGGTCATTGCTTATCGATAAGCACTGGTCCACATTTATCGATAGCGTGCATTTATTGGTATGGGGTATTTGAAATTCACCATCAGCATTGAATTCACCTCTGTCACATACAGCATGCGCCTGCCCAATTGGAGCATTTAATTGTCAGTTGCAGATTTGAATACAAGGCGCGCAGTCTTGTGCGCGATAGACACGGAAAGATAAAAAAAGGCCGTGATTTGGCTTTGACTTACTTGAAAAGTCTTAACATAAATAATTGGTTAGTGGATATTTTTTGATAAACACGTTTTGAGTTATGTAAATATTTTCAAAAAGTGCGAGTGCTGAATGCTGCGTGTTCTAGCTAATAAAATCTGAGTGAAATGGAGTAATGCATGTGTTTTGTTTTGAGAGCATGCATGCGATATGCAAATACTTTTGCTGCACTTCATTTGAAAGTGAAATTAAACTTGAAAAATATAAGTTTCAAGCCGCACCCAACGCAAAACAATGATTGTGGAATTTGTGCTATAAACCGATAACTTGTTTCAAGTTTAGAAGACAAACCTGCGGCTCAGTTCATTTACAAAAAGAAGAAAAAAATAACAAAATTCCAAAGTCGCAGTTGGCGTAGAGTGTGAGAGACTCGCGCGAAAAAAGACAAACAACAACAATGAATGAATACATACATATATGTGTATATATGAGATGGCAATAACAAAGTTGCTAACAACAAATCTATGTTTATACAATTATGTCGCATGCTGTTGTGCGGTGGCTACGGTAAACGTGTACTGGAACCGGTTTCCAGTTATGCCAGCCAATGATGCTGTATGTGTATATTTGTGTGTGTGTGTGTTGAGTGAGTGAATGCACAAGTGTTCGATAACGCAACAACAAAGCTCTGGGGCCAGCAGCTGTCTCAAAGATTTGAGCAGAGCTTACTTCAATGGCAATAGCGTGTACATATGTGTATGTGTGTGAGCTTGTGTGGCGAATTAATGCATAAGTGTGCAACAGCGCAACAGTGCAGCTTTTCGGCCGGCGGTTGGCGAAAAGATTTTTCTCAGACCACTTCAATGGCAAATGCATTCTAATACAATGGTACATTATTAATGAAACGAACTAAAGGCATGAATGTGTGTATGTTGGCATATAGATATGTACACAAGTGTGTATTTGCTCAATGCATGCAAAAAGACAATAATGTAAACTGATGGCAGCTGGTGCTCATGCTGTTGCTGCTGCTGCTGTCGTTAACTGATGTCAAGTGTCGCGCATGCGCCGCTGCTGTTTGATGATGTAAACAAGGCGTAACAATAAAAATGAAGTGCACAATGCACAAAAAGCTAGACAACGCAATAAAAACAGCAATTGAGAGGGCGTGCAAGAAGCAGAAGGCAAACGTGTTTATCTGCACTCTGCTCTAGCAAACAGAGGAGTGGAAGCGAACGTGACGCTTTCCATTAGCAATTGGCACACTCCCCAACACACACACACACACACACACACACACGCACTTCACAACACTTGTCGTCGTGTCAACGTTGACGTTGTTTTTGTTACTTTACACAATTCCTAAATTGCTGATAAATCACAGCCGCTTTCTATTTACAAACCTTTACATGTTTGGCCAATTGTTTAGCAAATCAAATTCGGCACATAAACTGTCTGTGCTCCACTCTTTAATTGTCTTTAATGCAAACATATTTATGTATAATATGTACATATGTACATACTTTTTGATTTGCGTTCTGCTTCCAATATGCACATTTGTCTGTATGTATTCATGTGACGTCATCTAATTGCAATGGCAATCGAATTCCAATAATCGTTAGCGGTATTTCCAGTTTTAGCAGGCACGTGCTGACATACATATGTGAATATATATGTATGTATATGTATATAGCTAGAAGATTGTACACCTGTTAAGCTCACAGCCTAGTTTAGCTAATTGCCACACGCATAGCGATCTCTATTTTTAATTGTAGGGTATACGAAATGATCTTAAGAAACTTAAAAATGATATGAAAGCATTGCATAGAAATAAGATAAAGAGCGTCAAGAGCTAATCAATAAAAATACTTTGAAACTATTATAAGTGATTAGGGTAAGTCATATAAGTTATATACACTTGTATAGGGTATTGCACGTATATTAAGAACCTTGTGGACACAGAAGAAAAAGTAATGTCAAGTCAATTAGTCAGGTTCCATATATGATATCATATTACAATAAGTTAACAAATAATATATTCATTATATACACATACATATATGTCATATATCATTGAATCACTACTAAATAAAAATATATTTATATAGATATATTCACTTACCTACTCTAGTATAAGGGTATACTATATTTTACTATTTCACTTTTACTTAGTTCATTAATAAAACTAGCATGGACTACCCTACAAAGGCGTTATCTAAAGTTGGTAATCGTTATCGCTTATTAGATTTCTGTTTAACGCACTATCGAATAACCACCTATAAAAGTTTGTTCAACCCAGAAAACACATTTCGATTTCTCATGTTTAGGCTATAATTTGATTAATCACAAGTCATTGCCCAAATTACTTTAACCCTATTTATTGTATATTCATTCTATATGTATATGTATCAAGGATAGCATGTATATGCCTCTAGACGATAAATCTTCTTCGGGTTTTACATATTTACCTCAACTCACCTGAGCTTCATTTCCATTTTCCCACTGTTATGTGGCCTATTAAAGTGAACTTTCATTCAGTTCACTTTTAACCCAATTGTAAGTTGTGGCACGCGATGTCCAAGCCAAGATTGCGTCAATGACCAACATTTGCCTAGCTGGACAATGCCCAACGCGACGACCCCATGAATAGGGGTCACAATAATGTATAGCTGAGCTGTCAGGCCTGCCTGTGGGGCAGAGCCATGGGGTCAAAGCAAATTGATTGAAAATTACTGAAAACGACTACAGCAAACAGAGAAAGAGAGAGAGAGAGAGGGGGGTCTATATACAAACAGAAAGAGAGAGTGCCAGAACAAGCCCCCATATAGATACTCAAAGATAGTAGAGCGCCAGACAAGTTATTAAAGTTTGTGGAAGTGGTTTCAGTTGGAACATTTCCTTTTGCTTGGTAAAACAACGTATCGCGTCTCAATCAAATATGTATTTTCAGTCATTTACACTTTTTGCGTATGACTCAAAATGTAATAATCAGTAATGGAAGGGTACATAACCTCACAATATGTATGCATAACCTCAAAAAAATAAAATCAAAAATGTTTAACATTTCCTTTGACACGAGACGCGGCGCATTGCGAATGTTTTCGAAACCAATTAGAGCTCAGCTGTCAACTGAATGTAATTCCAAAGCTTAGCTTTATAAAGGTATATACAGGTGTGCATATATGTACATATGTATATTTGCCGCATAAGTGCTCAGGTCAGTGAACAACTACGACATTGTGATTGGCGTCAAACTGGCTTTAAGCAAGGGCATGGGCCTGTCATGTCTTGTCGTTTGTTTTTTTTTTTTTTTTGGATCAGCTATAGACAATATGTGTAGCCCCTATATCAACATACATAGGTGTATATAAACAGCTAAGCACGCATAGCGCTAAGTGCCATAATAAGCCCACATTATGTGCCATTGTGTTGCGCTTAAATACCCTGTAAATAGGTTTTCTTTTTTATTGGGTATAAGTGAAATCTAAATGAGAAATATGAAATGTAAATATGAAGAAAGAATATAAGTACTTCTATTGTCTGTTAATTTCTAGACTAAATGAATTCCACGGTATGTTCCTTATTATATTCATTCCCAGGGTATTTTATAGTCGTTCAATTTGGCCTTGCGACACTCTTACTTTTCACTGTTTTTCTTGCAAGTTGCAAACGCTTAATCAGTTTGGTCTCACGTTCAAAACAAAAAGCTGAATTCCATCATGGACTCTTTTTGAGGCCAATGCCCAGGCACACGCACACCTATACATACACCCACACCCAGAAATCTACACACACTAGTTGCAGTTGTGCCAAGAATTGTATGCCAAATAGTTATAAATTAAGTTTTGGTTAAGTGAAATTTTTGTTATTCGCAGTTTTCACTTTGTGACCTTAACTGAAAGTCTCCAGACCCCACGGGGCGTGAGCTGTGGCTCGTGAGCCACCTCAAAGTCAAAAGTGAATGCATTGAATAGCTCTAAGGGATTGTGATTCAAATGTATTATATTTTAGCTAAATCAGTTTAAATGAATGATCTTTTCTCATTGAATGCGTAAACTTTCAAGGCCTTGCGCGAGGTCTCGACTTTTCATTTAGACCTAGACTCTTAGCGCTTAGCTCTACGTCTTGTTATGGAAATGGTTGAGGTAGATTAGTAAGATGAATGACTTGGTATGAAGACTTTATTGACTTGGTACTAATTTCACTTAAAGATCTTAAATATGTTGTAGAATGTGTTGAGTTCGTCCCGTGTTTGAGTGTATGAGAAATCATACGAAGTTGTTGCTATACAGTCTTTCATAACTAAAAATTCTAGTCTCATATACCAGTTCTTGGAAAGGTCATATTTGTCATAAATATGCACACATGTTTACGGTCGTCTTCCTGCTTTACATTTGAAGCCGTTCTGAAGGTTCGCTGCAGGGGTTCGCTGCAGGGGTTCGCTGCATTTGAGGATTGTCATTGTTTATAGCTTATGAGCAGACGTTTGTACTATTCTTATGTATGTCAAGTGTTTATGTTTGAAAACAAATAAGCGATCCTTTCGACCCTTCCTGAGAAATAGAATTTACGATATACTACATACACTTTGCTCTACTTACAGGACTTACATATATATTAAATTTTATTAAATTATATTAATTATAAAAAACATGAAAACATAAACATAAACTCTACTCAGTAGATTATTTGTTGCAGCTGCAGTTCCGGGTATCTGCTAGTCGGTCACTG